GTGGTCTTTAGATTTGTGATTTGAAGGGAATGGACCTGCGAACATGGGGCAGCATGCTAGCAGCCCCTCGTCCCTGTCAAGAAGCGATGCAAAGTGATCGCAGAGCGCCCAAACATGACCCAGATGTGTCCACAAAATGCACTTCGTATTGTCTCTTTGCCAGGGATGGTGGGTGGGTGGTGTTGGTTTCAGACTGACCACTGGTCGAGTTGGGGAGGGGTGTATCATAAGGAGCAGTGATGTACCCCTCCCTGAAGGGGAAGACGGGGTTGGACGAGGAAGCGCATTAGACCTCATCCGCCCAGAGTGCTGGTGGGATTTGTTATGACGTTCCAGTGTTCGTTTCAATTTGGGGCCCGAAGGTTCCAGAGAGTTCTTCGAGGTTCAAGCATCGTGCTCTGCGAAGGGGGAACGGGGGTCTGCAGCGAGAGGATGAGAGGAGCTGTAGGAGCAGAAGTAGTGGCAGGATGGACAGCGGGAGCAGCAGGGTACAGGAAGGGGAGGAGCAAGAGGAGGATGAGCGGGAGCGGGAAAAGGATCAGGAGGAGGATCACAATGAGGCGGAGAGCGGGTGGGTCAAAGTGATGGAGAAGAGGTGGAAAAGCGAGAAGGAAGAGTGAGAGGAGGATTGGAGCAGGATCGCAACGGTCATTCGTCAACCGTCTCTTCTTTCCACACCAACGGGAGATAATTGCGGTTGTCCATCCTATCCCTGAGTTCTACTTTACTCCAACCGATGGAGGGATGGTGTTTATCTCAGGGAACTGGTGCTAACGTATCATCTCCGCTTCTGGCCACTTCGATATTCGCCCAGCGGCTGACGGGACGGTCTGCGTCGCTGCAGTTCTCATATGTTGCTCGACTTTCTCGAGTCGCCTTCCTCTTCTCCAGCCTGACTCCCGGCCCGGCCCACGCAAAATGGCCATCACAGTAGTCTGGCCACACGTTTATTTTGGAGTGGTACGCTGCCCCCCGTTCGGCAGCACTGACTGGACGCACACCTTTCGTCACAGCGGTCAGTGGTCTCCAGTGCCTGTTCGGGAGCCTTGAGACGGGGGTCAATGCAAACGGGGGTCAGCCAGAGCGCCCGATCTTGCAGGATCCTGCAGGGCCAGGGTCGTATTGACCCAGGTTTGGGCGCAGGATCCTGCAGGATTTCGCAAGATCCTTCGCATTGACCCGGGCTTGGGTGCAGAATCCTGCAGGATTTTGGAGGATTCTGCAAGGCCTGACCCGGGTTAGAAGATCCCCGACTTGGTGCCGCCTGCGCACTCCTCGTGGCGAAGGTTCCCAACGCCTGGGGCCTTCTCTTCGCGCTCCTCCCCCTGGCCACCTGCTATACCAGACCGCGAGGTGCGCTCGCCCTCGCCGCCGACCGAGATGTTGCTTTCGAATGGTCCTCTCGCCCCATGATGTTCCAACCTGCTTCACCCTTGATCACCAGAAGAATTTCGAGCACCACGAAAAGTACCGAAATTGGGGGTTTTCACGCGTCGCGCCCTGGGAGGCGATACTCGTTCGACTCTGTTTCGATACTTGTCTGGGTGCTCGAAGTTATTTCTGGGATGTGGTCCTTGAGTACGATGGGAGCAACGTAACCCTCGCCTCAACACGGGCAGCATCCTTGGTTGAGGATCGTGCTCTCGCCTCAGCACCTTGCACCCCTTGGGTTCGCCCTTGTGCCAGGCCTCCGATCACTTGCACGAGCTCGCCTACAACCCTCCTGAAGTAAAGCTTGACGCATGGATTCAGCACCCCCCCACCCCCATCCAAAGTTTGCTCGTCACGGGGCCGCTGCCTCATCGGGGGGCTCGATGCAACGTTGGACGGGGGTGGGGGGTTGCCGTTGCGAGAAGATGAGCCCATGTCCAGGCAGTCCCATGACTCCAATGCAACCTCGAAGCATTCCCTGAAACCCATGGCCACGTTCGTCAAGTTTTCCTCGGGAGTTTGTTGAGTATGAGATGCTGGCTTGTGGTGCATTCCCAAGTTGCCTGGCGGTGGTTTGGTCCACGTCGTTTTGGCATACTCGAAGTGGAATGGTTCTGCTGTCGTGTATGGCAGAATTCTCGTGGGGCGTCAGGCTAGGCACATCGCTGATGTAATTGCTGCCTGCGGGAGTGCTACTCTACGATGCGATTGATGTCGAGCTTTTTTGTCTCTGCGCTGAGAATAGGTTGGTTTCGCCAGTCGCACAGTATCCTTTCATTTCGCGGCTTCGTACCGCGGCCACGAAGAGAGGCAGCTCGAGAAGCAAATCGAGAAGCAAATGGGGGAGGCGGGGATGATTAAGCGGCTCATCCACGGGAGGCCCGCGATGTACCAGGCGCCGAGCTGATGCTCTCGCGGATGGCCAAGGAGGGTCGGTGCCTTCTCTGCCCCTGTCTCCGTTGCCTCTTGTCTCGCCCTGCCCGCTCCAGAGCTCGAGAGGCAGACGGGCCAGCTGCATCAGCAGCAGGTGGACCTTGAGATCCGGCGCCGTGAAAACATGACGCCGCCATCAGATGGCGGCTGGAGCCCTCGACCCTGTCCTCCCGTGGTAGTTCTCGCGTCACCACCCGCCAAAACCACCCCAACCCGACCCGATGGCAACAGCACAATTTGCCCCCCCCCCCCCCCCCCCCCCCCCGCGGGGGGGGGGCGCCGGGAACATGCAAGAGAAAAACACATGTGGAGCCCGTGCGCCTCCCCCGGCCCGAAAAAAAGTGGGTCTTCGGGTTCGGCTCGGGGTGGTCTGGCAGGAGGAGGAGGAGGAGGAGGAGGAGGAGGAGGAGGAGGAGGGGCAGGAGGAGGAGGAGGAGGAGGAGGAGGAGGAGCAGTCTCACCCCGCATCGACCCGTCAGGGTCGGGTCCCTGGCCCCGAAGCCGGGCAGCAGAGCGCCCTCCATGTCTCCTCCACGATGCACGCCCAAAGTCTCGGCGGGCAGGCAGGGCAGAAGTTGCAGCATCAGCACGCAGGGCGACACGGAGCAGCGCATCGAGGCGGGTCGACCATCGGATGTGAAGTATGAAGCTTCCAGCCACATGAAGTCATCAAGGAGTCTCTGTGGAGATGTCCGGGGGTCTCCATATGACTCTCCGGTGGGCCCTGGAGGGCTCCAGAGGGGGAGGAGGAGGCGGAGGAAACGCCGCGATCTCTGATCCATGTCCGTGCAATGTCAACGAGGCGGAGGAAGGCCCGTGGCACGGGCCAGCCTCACAGAGGTGCCACAGCATGCACTAGTCTCACAACCTCTCCCAAGGGCTGCGAGGCGAACACTGCCCTCCTCAGCCTTCTGACGGGACCTGCCCGTGAGGCTTACCATCTGCGTCACCACCACTCTTTTCCAATTTTGCTTTAAACGCGGCGGGTACATCAATGCGTCCACCTGTCCCCACACCGGACGCCTGCACCTCTGCACTCTGCTCCTCCGAGCTTGCCACGCTCACTGTCCCTCGACAGAAGCAGCAGCGGACCTCGAACAGATCGACACGCAGCCAGGCTTTTCCTACTCTCCAGCGGCAAACCAGCGCGACCGCCATTCCTTCCACCTCGGCGGCCCTCTCAATTCCATCCTCCACAGGGGCGGCGACCGACTTCTTTCGACAGCCGGATCGAGCCGCCCCCACCCGAGCCTCCAGGGTGGTAGTGCGGGTGTTCGGGCACCCGCTTGCCCCAGTCACGGGTCACTGGTGGGGCTTGGGCATTGGAAGTGGTCGGCTCGGAGGGCCAACGATCCCAACTGACATTGGTCGTTGGATTATCGGTGGGTTAGACTATGCGGACTAGGCCACCAACGATCTCCACATCACGAGTTGCAGCGGGTTTGACCCAGCCATCATCATGGCGCTCACCAGCTCTTCTTTCTCCAGCTGCCAATGGCGAGCGACACGATGCAGCGTGACGATACTACATCGACTAGCGGCACTTCTTCCTAGTGTTCCCAAGCGGAACTAGCAGTCCACACCCCAGTGACGGCACAACAAACATCCCCGACCCAATTTTCGGCGGTGGAGCGAGGAGCACCCCAGTCTGACCGAGACCGCACCGCTGCACCAAACCTCCCCCTACCTTTATGCCCACTCGCCCTGGGGCTCCCCCCAGAGCCGCCAGGTCTCGGAGATTCTCGATTCATCTTCGCCCGATGTTTTCTTCGTCTTATGATGTTTCAACCTACTTTAGCCTTGATCACCAAAAAGAATTTCGAGCACCAGCAAAATACCGAATCTGGAGGGTTTTCACGTGTCGGGCTCTGGGAGGCGATACTCGTTCGACACTGTTTCGACATTTTTCTGGGCGCTCGACCTCATTTTCGGGATGTGGTCCTTAAGTACGATGGGAACAACAGAATCCTCGTCCTGGCCTCGTCTGCATCGAGGATCGATCGAGGATCGAGTAGTTCAGATGTCTCCGCCCCGAGGCTCGGCGCTCCCTCCTCCCCGCGCCCCGGCGTCCTCTGGGCCCGCCTCCGAGCGGGGGGGTCCAGAGCACAGGGCTCGTTTTGATGCCGCCGATTCGAGTCGATTCGATTTCGATGGATTCCGATTCCGCTTCGATCCGACTTGGGATTCTGATATGGTCTCCGATTTCTCACTGGAGGCCTATCCTAGCCTGCCGATCTCCGCCGAGTCGACTTCTCCCGGCTCGGCTGCCGATTTCCACCGGTCCGCTTCATGTCGATCGCCGATCCGACTTGCCGATTCGAGTCTGGGCTCTCCTGGGGTCCAGGGCAGGGCGGGGAGGGGGCACGAGGGCAACGCCGCAGGCGGCCGCACCGTGCCCGGGCGGCCGGGACACCCGGCCGCTCGCCGCCCTCCGCCGAGCTTGCCGTTGCCGCCGTATCTCCTCCCCGTCCTCTCGGGGGCCCCCCAAGCGGGATGGTGAGCACACCGTGTGGTGAGTCGGTGGGGATGCGGGGTCACCGCAAGGTTTTGGGACTCGAGTCCCTCTCCGAGGGCGTCTCGGGCGGCAGGGGCCTCCGGGGTCCCAAGCCCTTGCGGTGATTGACCGTGCAGTGAATTTTTTGGGGTTTCCGAGGTCACCGCACAGTCTTTCACCACACGGTTTTGGGATCCCCAATCCTTACGTCGAGGAAGAGAAAACGCCATGCCCATCGGTCGTTTAAAGCAGGTATTTTTGAATTCCCAGATTCCAATCTCTTTCACGCGCCTTCCTGCTTGGGTGATGGGCGGCTTCGCCTTTTCCGTCCTGTCCTCCTTGGGGGGCGGACGGGGCCCGATCTCCTTTCGACGCCTTCCTGCTTCATGTCTCTGCCCGCTTCTTCCGGCCGGTGGGTAAACACAAACTTTTGGGGCTCCGCGCAGATTTCTTGGACCCCGCTCCGCGGCGAGCCCGAGGGGGAGAGGCCCTCACGCCACACCGCTTGCGGCAGGGGCGGCCGCTCCCCAGCAGCCACGACAGCCGTAGCACCTGCCTGCCGCCACTCCCAGGCCCTCACCTCCTCCGGGGCCTCCCTGCCGCCAGCGGCCAGCTTCAGCACCTTCACCGCCGCCGCAACCGCCAGCCGCCACTCTTTGACCCGTGCCACTCACCACCTCTGTCTGCTCCGCCCACGCCCTACCTGACCTAACAGGTTCGCCGCAACTTTGCCGCGCTAGCCCACCTCCCTCTCGCCGCTCGCCCGTCTTCCCCCTCCCGGCTAGTCACAGCCTTCTTTCGTCGCGTCCCTTCTTCCCCTCTCCGCCTCCAGGGGCCGTTGGGAGGGAGAATCAGCTATCTCGCCCCTAGGAGGTTGCCACTTCTCTTGCTTCGCTTTTTGAAGTACAGATAGTAATTTCACCACTCCCTCCAGCCCCGAAGCCGACAGCGACAGCGACAGGCGGAGGAGGAGGGGGATGATGTGGAGTGACCGCGCCGTGGGGGAGGAGGAAGAGGAGGAGGAGAAGGAGGAGGAGGAGGAGGAGGAGCGATGCCTGCCCAATGCCCGTCAGCAGTTGTGGATCGAACGTGTCATGTCAGGGGGGTGCGAAGCGAAACGAAGTAGGCTGGTGGGCGCCCGCAGGGTAGCTAACACCATCAGGCTAGAGAAGTTGGAAGAGGTGGCCCATACCCGCAGGATAGGGCCAACGTCGACAAACTTATTGGGCTGGCATAGGCGCCGACTTGTGCACCTGGCACCCAGCACCACTAAGAGGACGGTGCTGCAGCAGAAGCCGGTGCACCCAGCACAAGGCACCACCAAGAGGGTGGTGTTGGAGCAAGGGCCGGTGCACCCTTCACCCAGCACCACCTTATGTTCTGAGGACATTGTTCTTGTTTTTAGAACATCTTTGGGGTTCTAAGAACATTACGTGTTAGGCCTACAGGAATGCCAGGATGGTCGGTCCCTGCTCAATCGAAGAACAAAGAAACGGCCGAAACATAACTGGTTGGCCTTCCGCGCAGATTTCTCGGATCCGCCCCAGGCGGGCGCCTCTGGCGCCCCCCCTGGCGCGCTCCGCGCGCCAGGGAGGGGGGTCCAGCGCAGATCCAAGAAATCCGCGAGGAGCGCCAGCAGTTTATGTTTTGTGCCGTTTGTTTTCTTCTTCTAACCACGGCAGCAGTCCTCAAGAGGGCCGCGCAGGTTCGCCACCCGCACGGGGCCGTTCTCGGCCTTCACGGGCCGAGGGGGCGGTGGGCTGGCAGCACCTGGACGGGGCCACTGCACAGCTGCTGGGAGGCGTTCGCGCTCCCACGAAAAGCAGGACACGCAGCGCACCTCTCTCGTGCCGTCACTCATATAGAGTTGGTGGCCATGGAGCGAGGCACGGGGAGGAGAAGGAGGAGGAGGAGGAGGAGGAGGAGGAGGAGGAGGAGGAGGAGGAGGGGGAGTCTTCAGAGCTCAGGGCGGTGGAGGGGTATCCGTCCACATCCCAGTGCGCATCATACGTGCGGCAGCCCACGAAATATAATCAAGAGTGGTTTTGTGATACTTAGTCTCTCCCTCCAGGGCCTCCTCAGTGACATTAGAGATCATGGCACGGCTGGAAGCTAACTTGGCGAAGTCGTCTGCCCACGCGTTGCCTTTCCACGCTGCAAGATCGCATCCTCACTCAAAGGCCTCCTCACCAGTGAGGCGGGTGGGGGCCGACACAAACACGGGAGGCTCGGAGGAGGAGCGAGGCTAGGCCGCTTGAGCGAAGATGGACCTCCAGATTCCAGCATATCTCTTCGTGCCACGGGCCAGCTCGGGATCACAGGAAAGTCCCTCCTGGACGAGTGACAACAAGTCCGAAACATAAAATGCCAGACTCTCGTTCGAACGGCATGGAGGGTGGCTGTCCTTTTCAGCGTCCCCAACAGTCTGGACAGTGCCAGCCAGGGTACCGAAAAGGGCGCGGGCGGGTCGCAGTCGCATATCAAGCTCGACTATCGCCCAGTCTGTGCGCCTGATCTCAGGGGCCCACGGGATCTGAACACTGCCATCACCGAAAGTCACAGGACCCCACACCCTGCGACCCACTCCCAAGTCTCCGTGTGCTCAGGCACCGAGGGGAACTGGGCCGAAAGCTTGAGAAATCCATATTTGAAATATAAAGAGCCCCAATCCGGCTCATTGAATGGGTTGCCAGCGTGAAGCGATTCCCTATGTGAAGCATGGCGCTCGCACAAAGCATCAAATTCTAACGCAGCCTTTCGCTCGTCAGGACTCAGAAGAGGCTCACAATCGTGCCACACGTACCCAGAGGAGCCATCCGAGGATCCGCACGCGCTGCAAAACGGAGCGCGACAAGAAGTAGGAGGAGGAGGAGGGGGGTGAGGATGGAGGAGGTGGAGGAGGCAGAGGAGGAGGGGGAGGAGCAGGAGGCGAAGCAGGAGGAGGAAGGAGGAGGCATCGTCATCTTGCCGTTCGCGCGCTCGATCTGCTTTCTTTCTTTGGAGGGGGGGGGGGGTGTAGCCTGTGAGGACCACATCGCCGCGGACGCCTCGAGCTATTCGCTGGCGGGAATAGGGTCGGGGGGGGGTGCACCAGTGCAGAAAAACATCATACAGAGGAGACCCATGCCAAGCAACACCCTGCTTGCCTCCAGGGTGCCCCGGGCTTCTTGGGTTTCGATGGCTTTGCTGTGGGGAGCGCGACGTCCCCACACCAACAATCAATGGACGTCCTGGGGTCTCAGGGTTGGGCTTCTCGTGGGAGGTTTCTTGTGGTCGGGCCCCTGCTGCAGCGCAGACCGGCGTGGAGCAGGAGCAGGGTCGCAGGCCGCGTGGGGATCTCACCAGGAAGCGACAACACCCCGAAGGACGTGGCATCCATCCCGCGGAAGGTGCGGAGTGGAGCAGGGCTGAGAGTCAGAGAGCGCCCTCCGCTGCATGACCAACCAAAAGGGGACGCCAAGGGGGTCTACGCGGGACTACGCGGAGAAGACGTCCGCAGCTCTGTTGGCACAATGGAGCCGTGAGGCTCGCGGGGCACCTCTGCTCGAGGGGGGGCCCCACGAAGAAAAACCCAGCCAAACATGTACATCGGAGGGGGGCGTCAAGGGAGTGCATCAAGCGGGGGCGCCAAGGGGGTGCATATCAAGGTGGGGCGCCAAGGTGCGGAGTTGAGCAGGGCTGAGAGTCAGAGAGCGCCCTCTCCTGCACGAACAGGAAGCAGGAAGGGGGCGCCAACAGGGTGCATCGACGGGGGGGCGTCCAGGGAGTGCATCAAGGGGCGGGCGTCAAGGCGAGAGCCCTGCGGAGATCCCAGGGCCTCCTCCCTCGCACCTTGGGCGGGGGACCACGGGCGGGCCAGGTGATCTCCGCCTGCTCCGGCGTGCGCGAGGCGCGGCGCGCGGAGGCGTGGCTGCGGAGGAAGCGCCCCCCGCCTCGGTCGGCGGGCCGGCACTGCCGCCCTCACCGCAGCAACGACGTCGTCGTCGCCGTCGTCGCCGTCGCCGTCGTCGTCGTCGTCGTCGGCGGCGGCGGCGGCTGCGGAGGCGGCGGCGGGGCGTCGTCGTTTTCAATTTTGGCTCCGGCGGTAGTTTGCACGGTCACCTGTTCTGCCAGTTTTGCAGTGTCTGACCCCATCATGTTGCCCGAAAGGGGTCAGAGCCACATATCTTACGTCCCACCTAGTTGAACATTGTTCCGTCGCGCTCGCCTCTCCAGCGGCACACGTGAGTATGGTTGCAAGGGCTGGAGTGGTTGCAGTTGCAGATGAAATCGTTAGATCCGTGCATGATATCGCCGCATGCTTTCACACATGCCTGACGTTCCCCATCTTCACTCATGAAGCCAGAATATTGAATAGGCGTTGTGACATGCATTGCGACATGTTGTTTTTCTGCGTCCTGCCGATGTTTTTTTCTCGCCCGATCACCGCCGGCGCTGCGGTTGCAGAGCTCTTCAATTTACGACTGCTGAGAGCCTGCAAACTTTCATGTTCAACGAGTGGTGGCTCGCTACTCGAGACGAAGAGTAGGATATGAGAGGAGGTGGAAGAGAAGAAGGAAGGGAGGAGAAGGCGGTTGAGCAGGAGGAGGAGGAGGAGGAGGATGGGGGAGGAGAAACGAGTGGGAGGAGGAGGGAAGAGGAGGAGGAGGAGGAGGAGGAGGAGCAGGAAGAGGAGGAGGAGAAGGAGTGGAAGGAGGTGGAGGAGCAGGCGGCGGAGGAGAAAGAAGAGGAGGAGGAGGAGGAGGAGGGGGAGAAAGAGGATGAGGAGAAGGAGGAGAGAAGAGAAGAGAAGAGAAGAGAAGAGAAGAGAAGATAAGAGAAGATAAGAGAAGAGAAGATAAGAGAAGAGAAGAGAAGAGAGGGGAAGGGAATATAAGATAAGAGAGAGGAAGATGAGGAGGATGAGGAGGAGGAGGAGGAAGAAGAGCACGAGGAGGGAGTAGGACGAGGAGAAGGAGGAGGAGGAGGAGGATACTGGGGCATCTTCCGCACCGAATGTGAAGGCATCTTCGCTATCTGGTCATTGTGGCCCCTGCATCAGTTGCATGCCAAGTGTATTGTAGCAACTTGATTTGTTGTACAGTCTTTTCTCGCGCAACGAGAGGGGGAGGAGGAGGAGGGGGAGGAGGAGGAGGAGGAGGAGGAGGAGGAGGAGGAGGAGGAGGAGGGAGAAGTGGAGGAGAGGAGGAGGAGGAGGAGGAGGAGGGAGGAGGAGGGAGGAGGAGGAGGAGGAGAAATCATGAGAAACCGCCACTCTTGTCTTTGTGTCCCTGCATCAGTGGCATGTACAGTAGTTCGATTTGGTGTGCAGTCTTCACTGGCGCAACGGGAGGGGGAGGAGGAGGAGGAGAAGGAGGGGGAGAAGGAGAAGAAGGAGGAGGAGGAGGAGGAAGAGCAGGAGGAGGAGGAGGAGGAGGAGGAGGAGGAGGAGGATGAGGAGGAGAGGGAGAAGCGGAGGAGGAGAAAGGGGCAGGAGGAAAGGAGGAGGAGGAGGGGGAAGGAGGAGGAGGAGGAGGAGGAGGAGGAGTAGGAGGAGAGGAGGAGGAGCATGAGGGAGGGAGAAGGAGGCAGGAGGAGGATGGAGGAGGAGGAGGAGGGGGAGGAGGAGGAGGAGCGAGGAGGAGAAATAATGCAGAAACCGCCACTCTTGTCTTTGTGTCCCTTGCCATCAGTGGCATGCTACAAGTAGTTCGATTTGGTGTACAGTCTTCACTGGCGCAACGGGAGGGGGAGGGAGGCGGAGGAGAAGGAGGGGGAGAAGGAGAAGAAGGAGGCAGGAGGAGGCGAAAGAGCAGGGAGGGAGGAGGATGAGGAGGAGGAGGAGGAGGAGGAGGAGGAGGAGGAGGGGGAGGGGGAGGGGGGAGGGGGAGGAGGAGGAGGGGAGGAGGAGGAGGAGGAGGCGGAGAGAGGAGGACGAATATGAGGAGGGGGAGGGAGGAGGAGAGGGCGGAAGGAGGAAGGAGAGGAGGAGGGTAAGATGAAAGAGCGAGAAGGAGGAGGAGGAGGAGGAGGAGAGGAGGAGGAGTAAGGGACGAGGAACAGGAGAGGAGGAGGGAGGAGGGATGAAGAGGATGAGGGAGGAGGAGGAGAAGCATGAGGAACAGTTGGAGGAGGAAGCGGAGGAGGAGGAGGAGGAGGAGGAGGAGGAGGAGGAGAATGACAAGGAGGAGGAAGAGGAGGAAGACGAGGAGGGGGAGGAGGAGGAGGAGGAGCAGGAGGAGGAGGAGGAGGAGGAGGGGGAGAAGCATGAG